AAAAAAAAAAAAAAAAAAAAAAAAAAAAAAAAAAAAAAAAAAGACCACTTCGGCTTCTGAGTCAAGAATGAATGGGGAAGAGTAAGAGCAAAAGTCAAAAGGTATCTTAATAAATCAGCCAGTGTTGGTGGAAAAGGAAAGAGAGAGAGAAAAGTGGGTTTGAGATCAAGCTGACAAAGAGATTGGGCCATGAGGGAGGAAAACAGAAGGAGAGTGTCTTACCACAGATGCTCCTTGAGGCCCAGTAGGATGAAGGCAGAAAGCACTCAATGCTGGGGTAGCACGGGGACTACAGGTGACTAACCCTACCAAAAGCCGGTTCCTGAACACAGACCCTCGTGTGTTGTGAACGCCAGGTGAGGAAGTGAACATAGCAAGTCTAGACAACTCCTTCAAGAAGGTTTGGGTCTTGAGGGGGACAGAGCATGGGGCCAGAGATGAAGCCAAATGCAAAATCAAGGGAGGGACTTATTTTGTTCTGTTTTTAAAGATGGGAGATGCTACAGCATGTGAGGATGTTGATAGCAATATCATAGAAGAGTGGGACACATTCAAAATTAGCATCTGAAGGAGCAAAATCCTCCAGGAGGCAGAAGGTGATGGACCCTGGACACAGCAGAGACAGTTGGACACTGACAGGAGGAAGGGCTCCTCTTCTAGAACAGGAGGACAAGAGGAAAAATGCAGGTGCCGAGGCCAGTAGGTCTCCTCAGGGAAGCCTCCAGGAGCAAGGGACAGACTGGACAACAGGGCTTTAGGCCCCCTGTTCCCTCTGCAACCACTGCAGGCCAGGTTTTATCACTTTACACAGCAGACGGAATTTAGCAGAGGAAGCTTTTAGCTGCTAAGAAGAAAATGAAAAACTACTGCCTTGATCACTGTCCTTAAATAGCCTCACTTTTTAAAAAATATTTTATTATGGAAATTGTCAAACAAAAGCAGAGATAATGGTAGAATGAACTCTCTGTACCCATCAACAATTACCAATTTATAGCCAATCTTCTTTATCTATACGTTGCTCCAACCCCCAAACACCACCTCGGATTATGCTGAAGTAAATCCTATCAACCAGGCTTTGCTTGTGCTATTGTTACTCATCTCCTAACAACAATCCAGCAAAGTAGGGAGGTTATATATCCCTATTTAAGAGATGTGAAAACTGAGAGAAAGGCTAGTTAGATAAAATTTTACCAGGGCTTTCTCCATTAGGTCTATCTGTACAGGCTTTCCTCTCTCACAGGCCATAAATTTTGGAAAGACATTATGATAATTGATTTATAATTCTGTCAAGAAAACACTTTTTTGCTACCTCTTTACTATATATATCACTTTAGAAAATACAGAATATTTTAATACCAAAAGTACAAGGAAGTACAAAAATCTCAGAGTAGAGCGTGGACTTATCCTAAGAAAGGTCAATTAATCTACCTTCACTTACACATTAGTCTGCCTTTCATTTTCTCATTTTGCTGTTGACCAGTGAAAACTTTATCTCAGTATAGCAAATGGGAATAGTGCTCTAAATCCATATTGATTGACATAGCTTAAAAGAGGCAAAAGAAATATGTAAGAAAGTAAGGGGAAATGCCCTACAGAATGTCTTCTTAAAGTAAAATATTAAAGATCCGGCCCAATGTGATAAAATGCAAGCATTCCACCTAAAAGCAATGACAGATATCTTTTTCAAGCAACAAAATTGGAGTAGCCCTTTATAATTGGAAGGAGCAAGAAGCGTGTAAATAATAAAACTATAATTATCACCATGCTATACAAGTAAAAACTACAAATGCAAACCAAAGGAGAGGCCTTTCTTGGCCCAGTATGGAAAAGAACTTGCAACAAACACATAGATAACATATGCCACATGAGGTAAATTATTTCTGCATATGTAAGATAATAAATCTGGTTTAACATTCCCTTTTGTCTTTATGTAGGAAGTGAGTACATCTGAATGTAACTAACCTTCCTGGGAAATGGTATGGGAGGCATGATCTTATGCCCAGACTCATTGGAACAGGAAGCAATCTTCAGGAAATAATGACCTTTTGGAGGGCTACATATCTTCAAGATATTCTTTACTAAAGGGAATGCTTAATAAAGCACAATGAATCCAGTCAAGGATTGCTGGCAAGCCTCTCTCAGCCAGCCCCTGGGACCACCTGGGGGAACACTGGTATGTAGCATTAGGATCCTGCAAACACTCAGAGGTTGAACCAGCCATAGAACACCATGCAAATCTAGTGTTCCAGTTACTTCCACAGCAGAGCAACACTAGCAGGACAGCAGTGATCATGGCAGTCAGCCCATATAATATCAAAACAAACTTTTAGGAAAGAGGAAAGAGTTTTGATACAAAGTGAAGAGACTCCTGGATGCATAAAGGTTCGGCTTTAAGAGGTGCACGAATCCAGTGATGGTGGCTTGGATGAAAGAACAGACCACGGCCACTGAGGAATGACATATGATTAGACAAAAACCCAACAACCTGTCAGGATTTGAGTACCCTGTGAGGCTAACACTCAGTGAGAAGAGCAGGACATTAAAGCTACGAGGCTGACTAGCTACTTGTAAGGCCATCAAACTGACAGTTTGATGATCAGAGTTATATTTCCTCCAT